TGGAGCAGTGTCATCGTGGCTCCTGTGTCTCTCAGCCCATTCACCACTCTGCCATTCAGCTTCACAGTTTGCCGATGTTGCTGGCGATTATCCTGGTGAGCCGCTTGCACTGGGTCTGCCTCGTGTAGGATGCCCCAAAATTCCTCCTGCTCTAGGCAGTGAGCAGCAGGCTGAGGTGGGCGCTGGATCCCATTAGCTGGTCTCCTCCATGACTGAGCCTGGTTGGCACTGTTCAGTGGGCACTCAGGACGCTTGTGCCCCAACTGCTTGCACCCATAGCACCGGATGGGTTGGGAGTACTCCCGGGCATTAAATCGGGCTGGATGCCCGTAATTGTTAGCTGGTGGTGCGGCTGGGGTACGGTGTACTGGGGGTTGGTAGACTGCAGGAGCGGGTGTTACTGCTGGTCGATACTCCAGTCTGGCAGGGGCTTTAGCAGCTGTACCATCCAACTTGCGGGCATCCGTGTATTCGTCTGCCAGACGGGCAGCCTCGGGTAGGGTAGAGGGTTTTCTGTCTCTGACCCATTCCCGGACCCCAGCAGGTAGTCTATCAAAGCAGTGCTCCAGCAGGAACACTTGTAACACCTCTTCCCCAGTTACCGCTTGGCATCCAGCCATCCAGTGGGCTGCGGTACGATGGACTCTGCAGGCCCATTCCACATAAGAGTCCCCAACCAGCTTGTTGGTTTCTCTAAACCTCCGCCTGTACGCCTCTGGGGTCACTGCATACCTGGCTAGGAGCGCCTCTTTCACAGCCCGGTAGCTGGTGATCTCCTCCTCTGGGATGGCCCGAAAAGCTTCACTAGCCCGGCCAGATAATTTCCCAGAGAGGATGGTGACCCATTCATCTGCAGGTACCTGATGTAGCGCACACTGCCTCTCAAAGTCTGCCAAAAATCCATCAATCTCTCCCTCTGTTTCCACAAAATTTTTAAACGCAGCAAAAGGTACCTTCTTTCTAGCAACCACATTATTGTGGTACCTCTGCTGCTGCAGCTCCTCTTTCCCGGGCCGCCTGTTGTGCTGCAACTGCTGCCCGCACACGAACCACGATGTCAGCTGAGGGGTTGGGGCCAAAATGTGCCAGCCTTATTTGCACTGCCCGGTTGAATTGTATTTCCTCGGGTGTTAAATCCAAGGTACTGGGCACGTTGACTCTTTCCATTCCCGTTGCTGCATCCATCTCCATTAGCAAAGCAATAATCTCCCGTTTCTTTAAATTGCTTGCTGACCTTCCTCGGCGTTCCAATATGTCCTTAAGTGTAGCACGCCTTAATTCCTCGTACTGCATGTCTTATAGCTGACCTCCAATGCTGTAGGATTCATCCCGTCGCTTGCCACCAATTGTTAAGACACCTCCCGTGTCTTTAAGCCAAACCGCCGTTTAGTAAACCTTCCCCGGCTGCAGTACAGTCTCCGTTCGCTTACTCTATATCCCACGAACCAAATGCAGGGGAAGCGGCAATCTCCCGATCGAAATCCACGAACGGCTCCAAACTCTCGATCGGCAATATACGAACTGCTAGGAACCGTCGAACAATAATATCCCCAAAGCGGCTTTCATTCCATCCAGCAGTCTTTAACCGTGAAGAAGAAATCCCCCCAATAACGAGACAGAAGCTCCGCATTGAGGGTCAAATAAGATCTGGTTTTACTGTGGGCTACCTGCCCGTATTTATGCAGGTCTCCCACCTGGTGGACACTCCCCTAGGGGACCAAATGGAAGACTTAAGTTACAGACTGATAGAAGGACATTTCTGACACACAGTCACATATCTTACCCACAGTGCATTCTGATTCCCTCCCCTCTGTCCTGGAGTTAATTACCAAGTAACTCAATTAACTCCAGGACAAGGACAGTCGCCATTTTAAACATAAAATAATAAAAGACATAAAATTGCATAACTACATGAAAACTGAACATTTCCCATTCGTATTACATGTCCCCAGATAGCCTGGATCTGAGTGCATATTATTGGCGAATAGCTCTCAGATCCCACACACATAGTTCAATCGCCATGGAGTCAAAGTTCTTACAGTCTTTCGGTATACGAATGACTCCATGGGTGGGCTATCTGGGTTAAGTCTTTTGTAGGCTCTCAATCTCCCGAACGGCCGGTGTTCGCATGCTTTCGTGGAGGCAGCCAGGCGTTCCCTTGTTTCAGCGGTGTTCGACAGAAAAAGTGTCCGTTTTCCGTTCCATAGAAATAGAGCCAAACACCGCTGAGCGTTCGCATGATTTAAAATGGCCGCTGCCTCGTGGTCGACATACGAACGACGACCACCCTGAGTTCGGTTTAATTGAGAAGTGTCTGCGGTTAACCACAACGTTATAATGGTGATCACTTCGTTAACCTGCAGCACACTCCTCACTTGGGTGGCCGTTCGTTCGGCAGATTTGTTCGGGAAAAAAGAGTCATTCGAATGGCTGGGCTATAGAAACCAGCCATTCATACGAACGGGGACAAACAGACGAACGGGCAAAAATCCAGCAGACAGATGGTTCTGTCACACTGAGTATACCACAACTCTACACTGAAGAAGTTTTGGTATTATCTATAAATACCTCTGTGCATGAGATTTGAGCCTGTCCCCCCCTAAGGCTCTGCACCATGTGAGTAATGTGAGTGTGCTTTATACGGACAAGAATATCATTTTGCCTCTTTATAAATCACTGGTAAGACCCCATATTGAATATGCTGTGCAATTTTGGGCACCTGTTCTAAAGAAGGATATTATGGCACTAGAAAAAAGTGCGGAGGCGGGCTACAAAATTAATGAAAGGAATGGAACATATCGGCTATGAAGAAAGGTTAACAAATTTAAACCTATTTACAGGGAGTGCAGAATTATTAGGCAAGTTGTATTTTTGAGGATTCATTTTATTATTGAACAACAACCATGTTCTCAATGAACCCAAAAAACTCATTAATATCAAAGCTGAATATTTTTGGAAGTAGTTTTTAGTTTGTTTTTAGTTATAGCTAAAGGGGGATATCTGTGTGTGCAGGTGACTATTACTGTGCATAATTATTAGGCAACTTAACAAAAAACAAATATATACCCATTTCAATTATTTATTATTACCAGTGAAACCAATATAACATCTCAACATTCACAAATATACATTTCTGACATTCAAAACAAAAACAAATCAGTGACCAATATAGCCACCTTTCTTTGCAAGGACACTCAAAAGCCTGCCATCCATGGATTCTGTCAGTGTTTTGATCTGTTCACCATCAACATTGCGTGCAGCAGCAACCACAGCCTCCCAGACACTGTTCAGAGAGGTGTACTGTTTTCCCTCCTTGTAAATCTCACATTTGATGATGGACCACAGGTTCTCAATGGGGTTCAGATCAGGTGAACAAGGAGGCCATGTCATTAGATTTTCTTCTTTTATACCTTTTCTTGCCAGCCACGCTGTGGAGTACTTGGAAGCGTGTGATGGAGCATTGTCCTGCCTGAAAATCATGTTTTTCTTGAAGGATGCAGACTTCTTCCTGTACCACTGCTTGAAGAAGTTGTCTTCCAGGAACTGGCAGTAGGACTGGGAGTTGAGCTTGACTCCATCCTCAACCCGAAAAGGCCCCACAAGCTCATCTTTGATGATACCAGCCCAAACCAGTACTCCACCTCCACCTTGCTGGCGTCTGAGTCGGACTGGAGCTCTCTGCCCTTTACCAATCCAGCCACGGGCCCATCCATCTGGCCCATCAAGACTCACTCTCATTTCATCAGTCCATAAAACCTTAGAAAAATCAGTCTTGAGATATTTCTTGGCCCAGTCTTGACGTTTCAGCTTGTGTGTCTTGTTCAGTGGTAGTCGTCTTTCAGCCTTTCTTACCTTGGCCATGTCTCTGAGTATTGCACACCTTGTGCTTTTGGGCACTCCAGTGATGTTGCAGCTCTGAAATATGGCCAAACTGGTGGCAAGTGGCATCGTGGCAGCTGCACGCTTGACTTTTCTCAGTTCATGGGCAGTTATTTTGCGCCTTGGTTTTTCCACACGCTTCTTGCGACCCTGTTGACTATTTTGAATGAAACGCTTGATTGTTCGATGATCACGCTTCAGAAGCTTTGCAATTTTAAGAGTGCTGCATCCCTCTGCAAGATATCTCACTATTTTTGACTTTTCTGAGCCTGTCAAGTCCTTCTTTTGACCCATTTTGCCAAAGGAAAGGAAGTTGCCTAATAATTATGCACACCTGATATAGGGTGTTGATGTCATTAGACCACACCCCTTCTCATTACAGAGATGCACATCACCTAATATGCTTAATTGGTAGTAGGCTTTCGAGCCTATACAGCTTGGAGTAAGACAACATGCATAAAGAGGATGATGTGGTCAAAATACTCATTTGCCTAATAATTCTGCACTCCCTGTAGTTTAGAAAAACGTCGCCTGAGAGGGGATATGATAACATTATACAAATATATTCAGGGCCAATACAAACCATTGTGTGGAAATCTATTCACAAACCGGACTTTACATAGGACATGAGGCCATGCGTTTAGACTGGAAGAAAGAAGATTTCGTCTAAGGCAAAGGAAAGGTTTTTTTACTGTAAGAACAATCAGGATGTGGAATTCTCTGCCTGAAGAGTGGTTTTATCAGAGTCCATACAGATGTTCAAACGGCTACTAGATGCATACTTGCAAAAACAGAATATTCAAGGGTATAATCTTTCTATGTAGGGTAATAACTGCTTGATCCAAGGATAAATCTGACTGCCATGCTGGGGTCAAAAAGGAATTTTTTTCCTAGCGTGTTGCAAAATTGTGATTCAAACTGTTTTTTTTTGCCTTCTTTTGGATCAACAGCAAAAAACAAATGTGAGGTAGGCTGAACTTGATGGACGCAAGTCTCTTTTCAGCTATGTAACTATGTAACTCTATTTGTTTAAGACATACTGCACCATATTTTGTCTATTTCTTTCCCTTAGAAATTCTGTTGCATTTTATTCCCTTATTTTAGGGTAAGTGTACATATTTAGCGCTCCACTGGTTTTTGTTTGATGTGGTTGGTTCTTCCCACTCAAATAATATTCCACTATCTGGTTTGCATGTTACTGTGTTAAGTTAGAGGTACTAACACGAGTGTCGAGCTGCTTTTTGAATCTTTTATGTAAATTTATTTTAAGCACCTTATATTGACACAGCACATTCACTTTATTTTTCTTGTACTCTCTACCTCAATATCTGTGTTGGCTGCTGTATGTATATGGCTTTATTTGAAAACAGAAGCAGATGTGGGAAAAACATAGATGCTCTGTTTCAAGATGAAGATTCTGATTCTCTAAATGTTAATTCGCTAACCAAAATGAAAATACATGACTGTAAATTTTTGTTAGAAAAAACAATGGGGAAAGAAATTAAAAATAAATGTGAAATAGCAACTCTAGAAAAATACAATAGGGAAAAGATAACACCCAGGGGCCTAAGGTTTTCCAAAGACCCCTCATTTGACCAAGAGGAGGATGACTTTATGACACAATGGAATAAGAAATTAGAAAGTTTCTCCTTTGGCCTGATGGATTTGATTATCGAAAGGAGGTGGTATAATTTAGAAAAATTAGATTAAAAGATTAATGAACTACAGGATTATTTAATCAATAACACTACTCCCGAAGAATTTACTGCAATTACGGAGGACATTAAAAAGAATCTCGATAAATTAGAAAGGGCTGTTATTGAAACTAAAAAAAAGAAAGTATTTGAGAGATAAAAACAACTATGCACAAAATAGAGTAAGGACATATTCAAAATATAAAAATCCAAACGGTACAAACCATTTTAGATATACTGAAAGAGGGACGTACAATAAGACTCCATACACCCAGACAAGACCCAATAGAGACTTCCCGATTAGGAAACGAATTAACAGTAATAACTTTAGATTCACTCCTAAGAAACCCCAGAGAGACAACAAAGTAAGGACACTAAATAGACCTAGAGAGCATCATAACTCTCCGCAACAGGTAGTTAGGAGAAAAGAATATAGAACGAGGGCTAATGCTACATAAAGACCTATGACATACAATACGCATCATGACAAACCAAGGTCATCTAGGTACCCAAGTATGAGAACCTTAGATGACAGTGTTTTATCGTATAACAAATACTCCCATTTAGATCGAGACTCTAGACAAGAGGATTTTTAGGAACTAAAAGAGAGAGAGAGGCACAAAGTACCCCATACATCACCAAAATCACCAGGCAAACGGAGGAGACCATTAGAAGAAGGGGAATTAGAGGAGGAATTTGTGTACAAAAGAGGAAAGAAAGACAGACAGTAAATCAGACCGACATATTTAATTTAACAAGTAGAACACTATCCATACCCCAACAAAAAATACTTTGAAAAGGTCTAAAATTTGCCCCGACTAGAACCTTGGACAAATTTAATACCTATATAGATCTAAACAGATTTAAAAGAAAATTGTGTCTGAAAAAAAATTCTTCATGAAAAACCCATTAATGCACTCTAATCACAATAATCCAGCAATAGGTTTAGAATGTGACAGCCCAGGTGGGAATTCTGTCCATATGGAATTAAAAGAAAAGTCTAAATTCTTTCCCAAATTTTGCATCTCAGAAGAAATGACAAGTGTAGCAGAACTTTACTTTCTGCCTGGACATATTTGGCACTAACTGAGACTAATCATACAAAAGAATATGCTTACCTAGTTATTGTGGATTAATATAGCACAGTTCGGGAGTTTGGGAGGGAAACCAGAGAGGACCAACTCTCCAAAATTACCAAGAATTAGCCGTCAGTGGGGGGATGAGCGGGAACGCTTTGTATGGGATAACGACAGGTTGTATAGATTGACCGAAGGTAGGAAGAGAGGCTGTGTCCCTTCGCAGAAGCGCCAATTAGTGGTAACCAGAAAGTACCGGTTGGAACTTCTCCGAATTGGACATGAT